AATTAGATTTCTATGATAATAAGCTTGAGACATTACCAGTTGGAATAGAAAACCTAAAGAATCTACAGAAACTGCATCTCTATGGCAACAAGCTCAACACATTACCAGACACAATAGGAAAGTTAGCTGATTCATTGCGATTATTGAATTTGTTGGACAATAACATTTCAGAGGTTGGAGATGGAGAAAGAACTCTGGGCAGGAGAGAGCTGAGAGCGATATTTAGAAATCGTGTTGTGCTTGATAACGACAGCGTTGAATATGAAGAAGATGAAATTTCAGTCGAGGATGTGTACAGAGAACTTAAGAGCAAGCCAATGCACTGGAACTTCGAGATGCTGAGAACACTCAGACCGCAGTCAGTTCCTGAGTTGAAATGCAGCGAGGAAGAATTGGTGAGGCTGTGGAATGAGAGCATGTTTGTGAGGGAGTGGGACAGGCTGAGGCCCGAGGTCATTGAAACGATCGAGGCCAGCAGAGGAGTCCTTGAGGCAGTGTATGGAGAGGACTTTTTAAAACTGCTCAGGACAGATGTAGACGGTGAGACCAGAAATAGGAATATCACAGAGATTGTTACAAAGGTTGCAGAGAACAAAGACAGCTATACCAGGGAACGAAACATATCAAAGCTCGCTGGTAATGACAAAAGCGCCTTTATGGACATGTAGGAGAAGAACAGCCGCAAGTTCATAATGGGCGACAACAAGAGAACAATGGACGAGCTCATACACCACATCTACAATCCAGACAAGGAGTACAGGAGGTGGAGGATGAAGAAGAAGCACACAGGTCTGGCCAAGAACCTGCTTGGATCCATACTCAATGCTCTTTCGAAAGAGCGCGATGGGGATGTGGTCGTCTCGAACATCAGTGGAATCTGTGAGGGGCTTGGGTATTGTCCGGACAGACAGATATCCGAGATGATATTTGTGCACAAATTGCTGACAGGAGATGTGGAGGAGCAGGAGGGTAGCAGTCTGGAGGACAGAGTGAGGAAGGTTGTTGAGGCATGGATTGGGCAGGAAAAAGAACGGGTGTTTGATATTGCAGTCACGCCCTTGAATGTGGGGCAGAATGTGCATGTTCTGAACTTCTGGAGATATGAGCTGCGGGACGAGGTTGGGCTTGACTTTGAGTTCCAGACGGGTATTATAGGTGGGGAGCAGCTAATGG